GAGGGCAGCTCAAACACCACCACCCATATCCTCTGATGACGAAGACGCCGAGTATCTGGTACTCGATAGTTATAGCGCCTCGTCGTCGTCTGCGTCTCCACAACCCGTTCCGTCGCCTACCCATCCCGCAGTTAGAAAGAAAAGGGACTCGGTATTGGACGACGCCTCTGACCGCGCAATGTTGTTTACGAACGAAGAATACGAAATGATGAAGTCACCGGCATCGAGCGCTATAGAAACCCCCAGGTATTCCGGCGTGACGCCGTTTCACGTTCCGCAATACAATTTTGAACTGGCCGAAAGTAACGCGGACAAAGTGGAAGCCATCAGGCGACAGTTTAGAGAAATATTGGGCCCTATGACGATCGAGACCTTAAACCATTACACGGTAGATCAGGGTTTTGCCTACAAACTCGAACGCGCCTTTGAGGAACTCGACGCGGTGCGCCAACGCGAATTCCTCTACAAGGCGCACGTGGTAGTTAAGCGCATGACCAGGGTGGACGTGGCCTTTCGCAACGTGATCGAGTTTATAAATTTTGTGCTGCGCCGAGACGACTACAGGATCATGAACGTCGTGTTGAAAGATAACAAAATCGACGTCGAGTGCTACGAACGGGTCGACATCGTGGAGAAGCAAATCTGCAAGCGGCAGTGGCGAGTCGAATTTAAAGAAAAGTATGGACGAGAACCGAGCCTGGCCGAGGAACTGTCCAGAGATCGCGACTTGAATGCTCGAGCGTTGTCTGATGCGGTGATGGATTACGAGGGAGGGCCCTCGATACTACAATTATAAAAATGATGGAATCGGACTCGCAGAAAAAAATATTGAGGAAATTCATCGAGGACTTCGTGATTGGTGAAGACATTTGGGAACGCACTGCCGTCGTTTACAAACCATATCAACACCTGTACACGGGCGACGTGTTGCGATACTTGCGGATTCAAACGGCCATCCGAATGATCATGGACGGCGAGCAAAAAAAACCTACGAGAGCCCTATGAGACGCTCTGTTTGAAAACACATCCACGTTCGTTCGTTTCGAGAGAATGAAGAATAAGCGTCGACGGACCGGCGCCCGCCGGACAAAGAAGACGGGTGAGGGATTTTATTCCCTGACAAAAGTCCCGGACATTAGTAGTCTACCGACAGACGTGCGATTGGAAATTGAAAAGTCCTTTACTCCTAATCCGAAATTGAAGACTCAGCTAAATAACCTTCTTCTGAGAAAGGCGATCGTACAATACTGTAAGCAGCGTCAGTACGACATATCGCAGTATCCGACAAACGTTCCGGCCAAACGCTACAAGTTTAGAGAGATACCCCGCGACGTCCGCGAACACTTTGAAAAGGGAGTCGCCACCCACAACTCTGTCACCAAGCACCCGCTTTCGACAACGTTTCGCGAAAACGCCATCGCCGTCAAGGTCTCTTCTTACGTGAACAAACTCAAGAACAAAGAGCGTCTTCCGACGCGCGTTCCAGAAAATGTCGAGGCTCTTTTGAGAGGCATGGCTTTTAACGAGTAAATAAAAATGGCCAAATGTTCCAAGTGCGGTTTCTCGAAACGAACCGCCAGAACAAAGTGTTCGAGATGCAACAGGAACGGTCGTAGACTCGATACGAGAAAGCCGTATCGCCTCGAACATTTCACCAAGGAAGATCAAAGGCGCATTCTCGGCTCCATGCGGGTTAAACGAGGACAGAGTCCAACCTACCTGAAACTTTTATTGGGGAAACTAATTCAGGCTTTTGCTCGCAAACAACGACTGCCGGCGTCATGTCCGATCAATCGAGCCAGGCACGCGCTGATAACTCACGCGATCCTCGACAAGATTCGACCATCGAGTCAAAGAACGAGGAGGAGTCGTAGCAAGAGCGTCGCGCGGCGGAGGAGCAGGAGCGGAAGCGTCGCGCGGCGAAGGAGTAGGAGCGGAAGCGTCGCGCGGCGGAGGAGTAGGAGTAGGAGCGTCCTCTCCTCGGGTCGAAGACGAGGAAGGAAGAGGAGTCGCAGCGTCGGCAACAGGAGGAGCCGTAGCATTTCCATTAACCGAGGCCGACTCGGTCGCAGCGTCAGTGTCGGTAGGCGAACAATGTCCAGAAACGCCAGCAGCGACTCCAAGTACATGTATCCCGTGTAATAAAAAAATGTATCAAGTGCGCGTGGATTATTCTTTCGACCAACTCCCGCCGAGCCTGCTCAGGTTTCTCAGGAGCGCTCACGAGGGGTTGCGGTCGGACAAGAACCGTCTCATAAAGCGTGCCAACGACGTGATCAGAGACTTTCAGGTCTTTAAAATGCACAAGCGCAGCGCCCCAATTTTCGTCAATCAATTTCCAGTTCACGTGTTGAATGACATGTACTCGATAGTGCCCGTGCGTAACAAGAAGGGCGACGTCATGTGCGGAAGGGAGTACGCCGAAACGGCCAAGGCTATTCGATCTAACTCGTTCTATCCCGTGTTTAAAGCGAGAAGCGACGGCGCAGCCCTGTTGGAAACCAAAGTCGGTAGGACCACCGGAGATAATCATTCGCCCTACGTTTCGGGAGTCTTGGTGAACGTAAACATTGACAAAATATCTAGCAAGTTTCACGACGTGGTCACCAGCCGCTCGATCAAGGTGGGGCAGTGGATCGACGTGATTCGCGACCCACCGCCGTCCTTTCTGGAAACCATAGTCGTGGCCTACGAGATGGTCGAGCTAGGCGAGTTGTATAGGACAATAAACGGCGACTTTACAAACTTGCCCACGCACGACACGTATTATTCCGACAACATCGTGCACCGAGAGTCTGGTGCAAAGTTTCGTCCAAACGCGCGCGATAACGTGCGAAAGGAATTCAAGTATCGCGTTTCCAATCGCCCAAACTACAGGATCGTGGACGACTGGGAAAAGAGACCGTTGGGTCCGTCCACGGATAGCTTCTTCCATTCGACCGGCGGAGGCCGCTACAAATCGACTCTCCGTACCAGACGGACGGTGTACGAGACAAATAATAATAATAATGAGGCCAAGTTTCACGGAAATTTGGACGACGACTACGCTGAGCGCAACGTGGATAGCGACGACGACGCTGAAGACGGTGACGACGGTGACGACGAGGTCAGTGACGAGATCAGGCGCTACAAGTACAAGAGATACTACACCGAAAGCGATCACATTATGCGAGCTTTGCGCAACGTCTAGTACGTGTCTTTTTTTGAAACAAACAAACAATCATTCGAGAGGCTTTAGTTTTCTACGTGCACAAAACGTACGTATATATAAGCGCGCCTGCCGAAGCGCGTCGACAAACGTGGAACATGACCGGAGTAGCATCCAGCGTGTCCAAAGTGTTTCGCGAGGCCACCAAGTTTGATCAATCGCGAACCTTCGACTGGAGCAGAGTAGTGGCCAACGTTTATTCGGAAGACTCAGATGAGGAAGAGTTTGAAGAAGAGAGGGTCGTCCTGTTCTCCGAAATTTGTAAACTTTCTCATGAGTCCGCGGACGCTCTGACCGTTTTGGATCTTGTCGACTATCCGACCTTGGAGGACGCACAATTGTTGTACATTGTTTGTACGTATACGCAGCTCAAGACCATACTCCTGAGGAACGCCCCCCTATTGTCAAACTCTGCTCTACAATACTTGGCGACCTACGCTCAATCTCTCGAACATCTTCAAATCAGCAACAACGGTGGCCGTATCAGGAACGAGGGATTGATTCATCTGGCTCCTTTGCGTCGACTCAAGAGTTTGTGTCTGACTGGAATAAGAAACGCCAGTCGAGCTGTCCTTCGAGTGATATTGCAAAACAACGAATCTATATACGCTATCTTGGTGATAACGACGGAACTCTTCACCTCTAAAGATAACGTGACGCACTTCGTCTTTTGCGCTTCGAATCAGTTGAGTCAGGAAATGTACGATTTTGTTTTTTGTAGCGAAACGTTATCTCCGTTTTCAGATAGCGAGTGAGGGTATATATACATATGGACTATACAGCTCGACACGACACGACTAGTACCCTATAACCCAAAGCGACAATGGCTCGACTAGGCAGGACCCCATCTCTCCCGCTGACCGACAGCTGCGTACAAGCGTTCGCTCAGTCCAGAGTGTCAAGCGTGGTGGATTGGAGAACAGTGGTGCTTAGTATATACCACGAAGAAGAGGGCTACGCTTGGGACAACGTGGAAGGCCAATTTTACTGTGCGTATACCGAAATTTCAATATTAAGAAGCTTTCCTACGCACATCACATTCTTGGAGTTGGTGCACTATCCGATGCTGCGAGACCGCCACGTCAGTGATTTGGTTCGTTTCTACCCGAACATCAAGACTTTGCTCCTACGTCACGCACCCGGCTTGACCAACGACTCCGTAAAGTGCTTAGCGGACGGTCTACCTAATTTGACTCACTTGCAGATGGGCTCGTGCTATCACCTAGACGACGAAGCCTTGATGTATCTCGCAGAAAAGAGGATCATCGACGTTGGCATACGGAGCCTCTGCATGATCGGACTCGGATTCATACGCCGAGAAACGCTTCACCGATTTCTCAACGCGCATCGAAGACTGACGGCCGTCCTACTCACCGCTAGAGACGTCCCCAACAAGGACCTCTACCTTGGTGAATATACTTTGTGTATTTCTAGCGCACTGTCTCCGCCACTAAGAAACATTGCGCCAACCGACCTAGACGTTATCGAAGGTGTGGACGGTGTTGTGGGTGACATCGAGTACCGAGACCTCGACAGTGACGACGGTGACGGTGACGACGGCTACAGTGACGACTACGACACTGACGCCGACGAATATCTCGATTCGGACGACGACAGAATGCTGGGTCCGATCGTCATAGACACCTTCAACTACGACGAAGAAGAAAACTCAATGGGCGAAGAAGACGACTGAGTTATGCTTTAAAATAAATATTTCACGTGCTTATAGTTTTTGAGTCACGAATCGTTCTTTTGCATGCACACTACACTAGTGCCAGTACAAATAGTTTATTTAATGAATTCGATACATTCCACTCACTGTAGATTTACAAAGGCAACAGACAAATTGCTCTCTCGAATTGTAAATCATTGGAAATAGACAATTTAAACATAAGGCGGCGTGGGCACATGGCAAAGTAACTATACACACCGGACAGTTCATGCAGACGACGCAAATCGTCGTGGACGGATCGGACCGCTTCATGGAGATGCTCGTCTTGTCGATGCGCGTGGGATACGGACGTCCTGCGCTCAGCGCCGAAAAAGAATCGCTGTTTTCGAGAAAGGACTTTAGCTTGTTCGGACAGGAAAGATCAAACTTGGAAGTAGCCAATGCTGTTATAAAGTCTAGGCTGTATTTGTTTGCGACAAACTCAATGTCCTTGGTATATTCTAGCAACCAAAATAAATCGCTATTTCTATACACGTCGGACACCTCCTTGATGTAGGTTACACTCGCGCACAATCGAAGATAGGGGCAGCGAGGGTTGTACTTGGCGTGTTCCTCGACTGGGTCGTCGTAGTCGGCTTCCCACGAAAGCAACCGAAGTCCGCAACAAAAGCATTCCACGGTCCGATCGGTCAGGTAATAAAATCCCGCAGATGCCATGTAATCCACGTCAAAGACGTCTTCTTCTTTCGGCCGAGCGTCGAAGGACGCGAACCTCGCAGTGTAAGTCTGAAACTCGGGCCTAAAGGCAAGCGCTCTTTCGGTCACCACCGCCGAGATGTCTGGACTCAGCGTGCTTAGCGGTGCGTCACAGTTGGATTCGTGCAGTCCTTGGGGAAGTGTTTCGTCCGAGGCCACGATAGTAGAGAGTTGAGTCTTTTGCTGGCACATCGAGCAGCTGATAATCCGCTTCTCCGGATCGTAGGCGAGTCCTGCCATGGCAAAGTCCTTGGGTGTGGGGATACTGTTGCGCAGAGGCCACGTCGCAAAAGTTTTGAAGTCGGACATCACCTTGGCCACAGTCGGGTCGTGGTCGAAAAGTCTCCAGTAGAAAGACATGTTCTTAAGCAAAGTAGACTCTAGAAATAAAGTCGATTTTGAGTCTACAGGCCTTGCAATGTTTGAATAATATGGTGCAGTCGAAACACGACACGCAGTGTCCGCACGGCAAGTAGGCAATGTTAGCCGGAGCCTTCCTGCATACGATGCACATCTTAGTTGATTCGTCTCGTGACTTTATAGCGGAATAGTGCGTATCACTGATCGCGCTATCTGTCACAAAGTTACCCCACCTACCGATAGCCTTGTGATCGAACGAAGGAAGGGCGTTCACTGGCTCAAACAGAGTGTGACTGCCCAACGGAGTCGCCTTGCTGCTCCGAATGGCACTCACCATCGCCGATACGTTCAAGGGGTGCGTCAGGTTGGCCGTGTACAGAGTACTCATAGTCCTGTTGCGGAACTTTGGGTCCTTGACGAGATCGTCGATCTCGGGAAAGTGAGACGCCCAGTACATCTCGCTCCTGTAAAACTTTTCGACTGCATCGTGCACGTAGTAATAGGTCTTGTTCACTCGTAGAAACACGCAATTGGGGGACCTGCGGGCGTGTAGCAGCCACGGATCGTCTTCTTCACAGTCGAGGATCGAAAATACTTGCACCCCGCAGTAGAAACAAACGATTATGCGGGTCACTATCTGTTCGCTGGAGAGGTAGCCCTGCTCGTCGTCTTGCGAGCAGAAAAAGCCGGCCTTTGCGAACGCAGGGCCTCGAACATCGTGAAAGGTCTTGGCTCGAATGTTCTCGTCGACGTATCTCTTGTAGACCGGCTGAGAGTAGCTCGGCAAGACGGACACGACCTTTGCTACGTTCAGCCGCGGGTCCCTGTACTGCTCGAGAAACTTGCACGACATTCGGCGGTGAAGGTCCATCGGGTGAAACGTGAGCGCCTCCCAATCCTGTTCGGCGACTTGAAATTTGCAGTGCCGACAGTAGATGTGTTTCCGGTCAGCGCAATATTCTAGGCCGGCGTAGGCAAAGTCTCGAGGCGTGGCTCTGGTGCGAAGTCGCCATTCGGCGAACGTCTTGAAGCGACGCACGATTTCCTTGCTTATGGGATCCGTAACGAGGTGCGCCATAGCGACGATAATGAGAGGAGCCCTCTACTCGGTGCGCAATATATATTCTCTCCATATCTAGGCTGACCTCGACTGGGAGCGGAGTCGACCTCCTATAGGCGGTAGCAATTTTGTTTATTATAAAAATGTCTGTCGCAGAAAATTTTTTAGACCTGTTGAAAAGGGGACGATGTCAACACTCGGTGAATCACGAAGACGCCACCGATATTTTATTACCCGTATTCCGGCAGCAGATAAATCCAAACGTGTCTTACAGGAGACTTAACGATAAATACGTACCCACGCTCCAGAACGACATCTCGACCTTACTCGGCTACTCGTCCAAGAAACTCATGCAGCACATTACCAAGGCGCACACGACGCTCCTGACCAACGAAGTTGTGGAACCGGTTGCACATATGCTCTTTGGCGTTTTCAAGCTCTGTAGTTACATACTGATGACGGTCGACATGGAACAGATGGCCATCCCAACGCTCCTGAATGACAATACAGTATTTCACTGCGTAATGGGAATCGAATACGTACGAAACAGTCTCAACATACTTAGGAAAACCTCTTCCTCGTCGACCACTCAGCGCCTCATCAGGGATCTGAAGCCCTACGTGGACGCGTACGCTACTGCCATTCTGCGCCTGCTACTCCTCTACATCGAAGAGATCTTTTCTCATGCGCGCGAGGCGACTCGCGGTATGGCGGTGGGCGCAAGGACGGCAGCCAAGATTACGGCGGTCATGCTAGTATCCCTGTGCAACTACGCGGCGGTGCGCGTAAAGTGCAACCCCATCTTTCAGTTTGAGAGCGCCATGGGCCACAACTGGCTCGACGTGGCCAACGGTCTCAGCCTCGTGCACAGGATCACGCAGCCACACACCGTCAACGAAAACATTGTCGGGGCCATTCGCGTAAAGTTTTCGCAAAACAACAAGCCACAGGACGTCATCAACCTCCTGGTCGAAGAGAGCAACAGGTTGTACACGAGTAACGTCGAGAACGGAGTGTACCGCTGCGACACCGACTACATGACGCTCCGAACCGTCATGCCTGCCGAGCGAGTCACGGACGACGTCAACATCATCGATCCGGCCATCTCCACGACGCTGCGTGACCACAACGAGCTCATCATGAAGAGTTCCGACACGATCCCCGTGCCGCGGACTAACCACTACGTACTAGCCCTGCAGAAGGAGAAGGCGCCCGCCACCGAGGTGTCGGTCCTTAACATCGCCTCCATAATAGAACAGTGTATGAGCAACGGGCGCGTGGACTCTCGCTTCGTCGAAGTGCACAAACAGTCGGACCAGGGCACGCAGGAGCTCAACAAATTTTACAGCCAGGCCTGTTGCGTCTCGCCCCGTAACCTCGGTCTTTTTCTACAGTGCCTAAACTTTGAGATGATGGACTCGGACATGTTTGGGGCCACCTTACAGTGCCTCAAGATGACCAAGGGCATACCCACTCCGCGCCAGGAAGAAATTGCCACCTACTCAAACACGGCGTTATTTCGGATGGCCACCAACCTGTTTTATCACACGCGTTTCTGCAGGAGCTACCGCGGCGAAAACACCTACCTGTACGACTCGCGCTTCTTTAACGACTTTCTACTCTGGGTCCAGTCGCCCAATTATCTGGAACACCACATCTCGCCTAGCGTGTCGTCGTCCATCATCTCGTGGTGCACGTCCATGTCTACTGCCATGCACACTACGCGCGACGCCAACGGAGCGAAGTGCGCCATGGCGGCCATATCCACGTGCGAGGTGGACCAACGCGTACTAGCCGACTTTTTGAACATGTTCATCAAGCTCTTTATCGAGGACGAGACCGAGATTAGCGTCATCAACAAGAAATTTCTCGAGAAGGAACTACTCAAGGCTTTTGCTTCCGTGTCTAATTGCTACAACCTTTTTAGGGGGCAGTTTGTTTCGGCGACGGCCTTGCGCCTCTTCCTAGCCCGTTGTAGGTGGTCCGTGGCCGACGACGTGGAAGTCATCGTTCCGGTCGAAACGAAGTTTCTCAACAGACTGATATGCGACAGCGACGACCTGTTGTCCAACTCGATGCGAGACAAGCTTCGTAAAACCATGGAAGACGTCTCCACGATGATGGCGCCGCTGCTCTCCAATCCATCCACGTCCACGCCTCGCAGCAAGGACGACGACAGCAACGTGCCCGTATGCATTTGAAATAAAAAACCGCCAACGCCCCCATATACATTAACAAAAAGGTTCGGTGACTGATTTGAACGATCGAGGGAGTAAAATGTTGAAACAGGTCACGTTCGTCGATATTTTTTCGCAACAAAAAATGAGGACCCTGCGAGACTATCTCCATTGCGAACTGGACCTTTCGGTATCGATACCCTATAAAATCTGGATCGCTATCGCAAATTTCTTTATTCAAAACAACGTCCCATCGGTCGTAGAGGGAGCAGAGTGTTGTCAGAAAGACAGCTCGTCGTCCCACTATCTACTCGTCTTTTCATACAGGGACAAGGACGCCAACCGAGTGGTGGTGGACTGTATAAACTTCATCAACGTGCTGCGCGATCTCAAGGTGCACGACGTGATATGCACCAAGCACTACGTCTACCTCTACGTCCGTCACTCGTCGGCGCATCACAACGTGCATGCAATTCTACCCTTTCTCCACCACGTTCTGCAAAGCTATGTAAACGACAAGACGACCACTTTGCCACTCGATTACACTTTCGATCCCCTGGAAGAACAAGAATCCTTCTTCGACGTGATTCCAGTCACGTACCACGGCACCTACGAGGTGACCACCTCTCTACCGGCGCTCGTGGCCAAAATCAAACCCAAGGAAGACGGACAGTACGTGTCAGATCGCCTTTATTGCGAGAAGCATTGGATGTGTCTACACAATCTGGTCGTCTCGAGGCTCGTCGACTGTTTCTACTACATCACCATACAGAAATTGCAGATATTAAAAGATGTTACAAAGTCAAACACTACGTCCAACAACGACTATGGCATTTACAAAGTGTCGTATTACAAGAAGTGACTCGCTTTCGCTTGTGTTTGTCTGCTTTGCCTAAAATAAACGCTTACGCTAGCTTGCACGCTGCTATACACCTGTCTCTCTATGTGTACGCGTCTCTCTATGTGTGTGTGTGTGTGTGTGTGTATCCAAACAAACGTTCTTTTATTCACAACATGTCGTTGTAAATGGCGTCGAAACTAGGAAATCGGAGGTTGCTCAGTCGCCGCTTGTTCTTCTTATAGGCCCGTCTGATGAGGCTAGTGGTGAACGTGCGAGACCAGTCGCTGCTCTGTCTAAAGATGCACAAGACGCGCCGTAGATCCATCGTCTTGATGCAGGGACACAGACAGCGGGTCTCGTACCACTTGTAGACGGCAGCAAGGGCTTCCACGTCCGACCAATTGTCGTAGTCGTCATCAAACTCCATAGCACCCATCATGTAGAGCGCCGAAAGCGCCTTGATGGCGCTGGAAACCGCAAGGTGTTCGCCGCTAGATTCGATAACGTAAGCTCGTATGTCCACCGCAGGTTCCAACGCGTCGCTGGCTTTTAGGGCCCTTACGACGCTCGCAACGTCGGCGAGACTCACGCGGCACGCCTTGTTCTGCCCCATGGTCGTGATCGATCGCGTGACGAAAGCGTTTGTTGTCGCGTCCCTCTCTACCACGCGGTCTTCGTACACAAACTCTACTGGCTTTACGTACCACGCTAGCCGGTCCTGTTGCGTGGCGTAGAGCGCGGTGTACTGAAGCAGCTTCAGGTATTTCGTGACAATCTCCTCTACTTTCTGCCGACGCTCGTTCGCCTTGGGCCAGTCCTTGGACATTGCGGCCGCTCGCCTCCGCGTAGTGGACCCTTCCATAGGTGCCGCGGCATCGACCGCCGCCAGTAAAATGTCAAAGAAGCTAGTCTCCTTCGTTGCGGCGTTCATCATTGCGCGAAACAGGTCCACCTTCTTGCCGTCCACCTTTTTAGATGAGCTTATCATAAAGGGGAGCATCTCGTAGCCGCCGTACAGCAAGATTGGCACCACAAACGACAGCGGGTGAAGATCGGAACCACTGACGCGTACAGCGCGAGTAAAGAAATCGTCCTTAATGTGGTAGTAACCCGCCTGACGACTGGGAAGAGACCTGTCCAGCAGAGACACGGCGTGTTGCACGCCGCCAAACTCGAACCTGTGTTCGTCCTGTCGCTTCTTACTCTCGCTGTACTGGCGGGCCGAATACACGTAGACGTCTCGCGAGGGTATCTTTTCCACGACCGCAGCTACCCCGAGGAGAATGTCTGAATCGTCGGTGACAACGACGGACACGTCCCAGCGCTCGTCGTTTGGCGGCGGACACATTAATGAGTCCACGACCTTGATGTCGCCTTCCCCCACGTAGAAGGGCGGCAAGATCGTAAAGGACGAGAGTTGGTACGCTGCAGCCGACTCGTTCGAGTAGCCGTCAATCACCTCTTTGGCGTAGAGTGGGTTCTCGAGAAGCGTGGCATATTCCCTGACGTGCTGCATCACGTCCGAGGCCGCGGTCAATCGGCAGATTGTGGCCATGGCGTCTTTGCCGTAGCGTGCCAAGTTTTTGAGCCTTCCGTTCAGGACAGACTGCAGTCTCGAATTTTCGATGGTCCGAACTCGCTTGGTGTCCTCGCCAGACGAGTTTTTGATGACGTTGGTCAGCTCTTTACTGCGACGCTTGTACTGCTCGGGCCACTTTACCGTCGGCGACATTCCGTCAAACACCACCACCACGTCAACTTCCACACGCCTGTTTAGGGACAGCCCCTTGACGACCCTCTTGACCGTCCTAGATATGCAATGAAACACCGTCGTGAAGAAGGCGTCGTATCGGATGCAGCGTTCGCCCGCTCTCGCCTCGTACTCCTGGTCCCAGTCCAAATCTCGAAGAACAAACGCGTCGTCTTCGATATAGTCTTCGACGTAATCGCCAACCAGATCTCCGTTGGTCTCGCGAACGTAGTGTTTGATAATCTCGAGGTTCAAGGCTTCCCACGCTCGCTCTCGTTCCTCTCGGTCGGCGATCGCTCGTGCGGCATCGATCTTGTCCGCAAACGTCTTGAGATGGTGGTCCGTCAGCGAGTGCTTGCAGTGGTGTAGAAAAATGTTACCGTCGACGACGACTTGAATGCGCGCCGACTCTCCGATCACGAACGAGGACGTCACGCTCTCATAGTCGAAGTGACGCGCAGACGGCGTAGGCGAAAAATACGTCCGCAAAACGAGGTTCGTGGCCGTCTCGACGTTACTGCCGGGGTCGTCCAAGAGCTGTAACTGAGACTCGAGTAACGGTGCCAGTTCCTCCTCGACGGCGCGGTTGCAAACTGCGTTGAGTGTATTCCAAAGATTTCGGATACCCATGGTGTCAATATCTGCATTCAGAGGAGCGACGCTTAAGTACTCTCATCACACAAGGTCACGCCAAATAATGGAGGTTGTGTTTTTTTTATTGGACGAGAAAGTGATACAGTATGCGTAATCCCTCTACCTGGGTGAAGGGCATCGGGTGACCTCCACTCGAGTGGGTAAAGTAACGCCCGCTCCCCTTATTTAGATAGAGGAAGGGCTCTTGTAAAATGAACTTGAGGGGACAGAAGCGCTTGTTTGTTTCGGGATCGAGATGAGTGGAGAGCACAATCGAATTGTCAAAGCCGGGTAGCTCGAGGGTGCTGCCTGTGGGTACGTGCGTGTATGCCGTTTTGCTCGGCACAAAGCTGACAATCGGCTCGTTGGTTATGTTGTTGATCAGAGACGGAATCGCGGCAAGACCCCTGTTTATTCTCTCTTCCCAGTCGCTGTGTTGGAAGAGGACGTTGTCCACGGTGCGCAGCACGTCTAGTAGCCGAATCTTTTTCGTTGCCGTCATGGCGTTGGCAATCACGCTCGGAATTCCTATCGTCTCGCACAGTCGGGGTAGTATGGTCTTGACGGTCGACTCGACGCTCTCGACAATTTTCTCCACCACGTCCTCTTGCAGGCCGGAAGCCTTGAGGCAACCCACGCCGCCACTCGCGATGCCTCCGCCGCGCTTCTTTCTCACGGTTCCGTCCAGGTAGACCATGACGGACGACGTCTTGACGTTGTTGATGTCGTTGACCACGTCGGAGATGGTGGGTTGCCGCACGCCCAGAAGGACCTCCCTCTTCTTTAGCGAACGGAGCTCGGCCGTGGCCACGCCGCGCGGAACGTAGAGGCACGAGTCGTAGGCAAACTTGTACGCGTTGCGGATGGCGGCGGCCGTAAACAGGTAGTCTCCGTTGTAGGCAGAACTAAATAACTCCAGGTTGTACATGGCGCGCACGCCCAGGGCTACGGGCTCTTCGCCGACGCCACCAGTTCCGCCAAAGGGCAGATTCGTGACTGTGCTTGCCAGCATTGTTATTGCGTCTGCATTCAACCAGCCCGCCTGATAGGTCTGACTCGAAAAGATTGTCTTCTCGTCGCTCCAGTCGCCTTCCACGTAATCGTTGTACGCCGGAACGTTTTTGAGAAACACGTAGGACCAGAACATGGGGTAGCGTTCCACGAGCTTGGGGTGATTCCTAACCAAATACGTGACGTGATCGTACGGATCAACCACCGATTTGTACTGGTCGTATAGGACGCGCCCGACAAAAGCCAAGTCTGCGCTCTCGTTGGTGTAGGCCGCCCTGCGTGGAATGAGGATCTCGATGGGCAGTACGGATCTCTGGTCCGAGACGCAGACGCGGACGTTATCGACGCTAAGAATCCAGGGAAAGGTTCTGCCCAAAACCTCGTAAACGTGTTTTCTAAAGAGACGTTCGCTACCGGCTCGATGGTCGCTCGCGGAAGTCACCGCGTTTCGGAGCGTGAGACTGTCGTAAATGTCGGATCGCTTGTTCTTGTCGGTGTTTTTCCAGAAATATGCCAGCATCATGTCGTAGACTATGGTCGCATTAGATGCTACGTTTCTTTGGTCGGGTGTCGTCAGTGGGACGGTGTCTAGTCTGTGATTCGCACTAGTACTACTACTGCTACTACTAGTAGTAGTAGCAGTAGTAGTACTAGTAGTTGCAGTAGTAGTAATAGTGGTCATGGGAGCCGTAGTTGTATGCACAGTCGTATTGAAAGGGGAAGTTGCGGCCGTGGTGGTGCTGTGGGGATTGTTGTAATTGTCGATTCGCGAAGAAGGCAGGAATGCACTCCTAAACATGTCCATTTTTATTTATAGAACGTTCTCGTACAAGTCGTCCGAAAAGTCGCTGTCGTTATTAATGCTGTTTACGAGCTTGTCCCGTTTACTCAATTCCTTTTTCGGTTTCCGTTTTCTTCTTTGGGCAAACAGGACGCGGCACATTGTGAGCGAAAGAACCAGAACGCTAAATGCTAGCAGTATCATAGCCCACAGAAAATAGACTCCGTTCATTTCCGAAGCCTTGAGTATAGTGATTTTAAAGGTCATCTCTTCTTCAAAGAAAAAAGTATATGGATTGCGATAAGGAATACGTGTCTTGTGTCAACGACGGAGACTGCTCGACTCTATGCACGGGGCAGGCAATATGCGGCAATTACGGAAAAGGAATCAGACGATGCGTACGCAGAGAACATTACGAAGCGTACAAGCAGCGCTCGCACGACGATAACATGATTGTCGTGTTTGCAATGAACAGAAATTTGGGTTATTTAGAACCGCGAAACGTGCCGGTGGACATGGTAAAGTACGCGCCAGACGCGAGAAGAAGCCCCCACGACGTCGCGTCCAACCGAAGATTGGCGTCGGAAAGCGACGAGCGAGACTCGGTGTGGCTACATATTTACGGACCGACGACGGCGGACGTGACTCCTTACGAGTACAGAGCCAGGCTTCCGAGGCGCCTGCTAAACGGGTTGTTAAAGTGCTCGCTCAACTTTCCAAACTTTGACGTCAAATAAAGACGCCCTTGTTGTATAGCATTCGAAACAGGTCCATGGAAGTGTAGACGACGCGCTGACTGCCATTCCAGACGACGTCGTAGATTTTCTCCTCGCAACCGAGAGCTCG